TAATCTGAAAGGAAAGAAGAATGCCTTAGTATCGGTTTCTTCGATCATCTTAGAGATTATGGAATGGTTTCCATAATTGGATTCTCCAAGGACAACATGATGTAATGATGTTACTAAAAAGAGAATCAAATGCTATGTGGTTCGATCTATGATGAGTCGTGCTTCACTCTCATTCATTTTTTTTGGAATATACAGTTGAAATAGTAGAGCATATTTTTGAACCATGTATCTAACTATGTCGGTTTGAAAACACCTCATGAAATGTGGAGATGGAAAGTTCCCTGACATTCAGATCTAGTGTTGTGAGGTTTTCATTAGACGAGAAACCAATGACTGACTTGAATCAAGATTTAATAAGTGTTATGTTGTCGAGTATTCACTAAAAATGCTTTATATATGTGATGCTTATAGCTCAAAAGGAATATTACTTAAGAGAAAGAACACACACACACACACACACATATATATATATATATATATATATATATATATATATATATATATCAAGAAGTTAGTGCGAGTCATATTAATCTTGAAGAAATTCAAGATATGGCTGACAATGAACCTATATTTGGCACTAGCTCTCAACCTAAGGTTGAAATACCAATTGAGTCAAGTGATATTATCCTATCTCTTCGTATATCTGGTAGAGTTAGAGCACCTCACAAGGTTATAAGTATCATCTAACTGTTGAAGTAAACACATTGATTAGTGATAAAACATTGATAAATTTTGATAAGCCTAATAGCTACTAGGAGCAGTGGTGTGCCATATGAATACCATTAGAAGATTATAAGGATAACAAAGTTCAATCCATGAAGGATAACTAATTTTGAAATTGGTTGATCCAAAGCCTAGTCTTGTGACAATGGGTAGGAATTAGATCTTCAATGTGAAAACTGAGATGGATATGAATATACACATATTCAAGCTAGTAAGGTGGAAAAGAGTTTCACTCAAACTCAAGAAATTGATTATGATGAAACATTCTCACGAGTAGCTGAGAAATGTCTATTCGATTATTTGTCACAATTGTTTGCTTCTTTGATATAAGATATGGTAAAGTAGATTTTTAAACAAATTTCCTCAATAGTAAAATCTAAAGGATATATGACATATTTTGAAAGGATTTAAACATATAAAGTATCTAAACAAGGTTTGTAAGCTTGAAAAATCTATTCGTAGATTTAAGAAAGCATTATGTTGCAAGGAATCTGTTCTTCGATAAGAAAGTCAAAGAATGTTGTCTTTTTAGAAGTTCATATTAGTCTTGAGCACATGTCAAAACTAGTGCTAGTGTTGTTATTTTCTTGGTATTACATATTGTTGACAATAATACTCATGAGAAACGTTGTCTCTAAGTTGCAAAATGCAAAAGCTCGATAATTGTTTCATTATGATGGAAAAGGGAAGCAATATTGATACTTGGTATTTGGATCTAAAAGTATAGATTGAAATGTTTAATATGATTTAGTTAAAGTATAATATGTTGGAAGATTCCAATATAGAAAAATTCCAAGAAAGCGACTGTTCATATGCTTCATAGCAAGGAATTGAGTGAATCTCAACATTCATTTGTACTATGAAAATGAGAGGATGAGTGGAGTCCCACATGCTTCGAATATAGGATCAATCATGAATGATATAACTTCTACTTATTATGATTTATCTGATATTTTGAGCACCGTGAGATAGGATCAGAAATTGGCTCGACTGAATCGCTAGACAACTGTCAAGAACTTTCTGAGGTATTGAAAGATACCAATGGATGGTTACTTGTGGACAGTAGAGAACATGATCGAGAAGAGTTATAGTGACATGTATTTTAGAGATGGGTTTGATTCATAGTCTAAATGGGTATTCATTTTGAGTTGTAGCATGAAAGGTTTCATGCAAGAGATGGTGGTATGTTTGACAATATGGGTGAGACCACATTGGTGTAAGTAAAGTATCCAAAGAGCGTACCTGGACTGGAAAACTTCATATTTATTCTTGGATTTGTTTTGAGTAACAAATTGTCATTAAAAATATTCAATGAAAGTGCAGTTATATTGACTAAGGATTCTTGAAACCACGGAAGGTCAATACATAGAATGGGGGAATTCAATTACATCCAACAAAGGGTTGCGGATGCAGATCTAGTTGTGAAGTGAATATCTTTTCTATGATCCGTTCATAATAGTGATGACTAAAGGAAAACATGATATTCACGGTAAGAGAATTTACATGAGAAATGTTGACAAGTTTAGTCCATTACACTAAAACATTTATACAATAAATAAATCTGTAATTGTTATGGTGATCAGATACTAGGGAATTATTTATATTCAAAGAGTATGATGCCATAGAGCAATTAGTTTATTATTGTATTCCGTTTTGCGTGTTACTTCCTGAATATTAATTTATTCGGAATGTCACAGTCAGTCGTACTTTTGGGAGTAAGGATTACTGCAATATTCATGAGTACTTGGAAAATAGAGATTTGAAGTATTAATTAAACATACGCTTAGAGATTACTTCATGTATTTAATCGTGAGTCTTCTATTCTTCAAACAGAGATATATAAGTCATATTTTGCAAATAAGTTATGCATTGTTTTAATCCAACACATCTGGTAACTAGGTGTTATAAAGTGTAATTACATGCATGATTTGGTCAGTAAAATGTATGATTATATAGTTAAAGTTTATTAGTTCATTTTGCCTTAACCAGTGTTGCAAAAACCGACCTTGACGGCCAATTAGTCGGCGATTAATTGTTTTGCGGCCTTGAATCGATTACGATTAGGTGTTTGACGAAGTCAGTCAAAATCAGTCAAACTCGATCTTGGCAGTACTCGCCGGTCATAGGAGGGAAATATTTTAAAATTTTAAAATTTTTAATTTTCAAATATCACATCAAAATTTTAAATTTTCAAAAATTTAAGCTTTCAAATTTTAAGATAATAGTATAATTTTTAAAATTTTAAATTTTAAATTTTCAAATACTTAATTTTTAGGAAATATTAATTTTTTAAATAATTTTTTAGCATATGCCACGTAAAATGTAACTTGCTATATATATATATATATATATATATATATATATATATATATATATATATATATATATATATATATATATATATATATATATATATATATATACTCCTAAATAATCACTTATGTCTCCATCGAGACTTGAAACCCAGACCTCTCATATGAGATGGTCACTCCATACCGCTAGGTCATTGGCCATTTGAGGTGTATATATATATATATATATATATATATATATATATATATATATATATATATATATATATATATATATATATGAACAAATGATCGTCATGATCGTCTTCCTAAGGCCTAAGCCCCTTTATTGTCTTCTAACGGTCATGTTTTGCATAAATGGGCAACACATGCTTTTACTCAACTTTTATTTTGATATTTTGTCTTATATCTAAAATACCATCAATCATGCACAATTTAATGATATAATTTCATACAAAATTGTGAACCATTAACCATTACACAAACCCTTTTCTTATTGATCCCCTATGCATCAGCAACTAGTTTTTTCAATAATTCACCAATATATTTAACAAACAGTTCATACTTTTCTCCGAAACACATATAAAAACATATTATTAAACCCAAAAAGCCAAATAATTCCCTGAATGTCTAATTCAGAATTTAATACTAAATAAATAAAGACTTGAAAATATTTCCAAACATTCACAAAAGTTCTACAACTCAACAATATCTACAAGTTGGATTCTTAGACTTTGGCATGAATAATGCTTGAACAATTCTATCTAAAAAACATAACTTTGATTTGACTGTTCTTCCCCATATTAGTTCCAAAATATGTTGCTTGCAATATGCATGCGTTCAACTTTGAGATTGTTTGTCATTTTCTTGTTTTCTTTCTTCAATCACATCACACATACATACATATTTAACGTCAACTATTTTATAGTAACGTTGTTAAAACATCATACAAAAAACCCAACTAGTCAAAATTGACCAAATTAACTCCCCAACAATTAAATTAAAGGTTGAAGCATATAGCTGAATTAAAAATAAAGATGTTGCTTTTTCTAAATAATTCTACTAACTGATTTTTCTAAAAAATAGATAAATATTTATATAAATTTTAAATTAAAAAATTTATTCTAAATAATATAGAGGTGCACAAAAAAACTTGTTCAGGACCGGTTCATAGTGAACCGGTCCACTATAAACCGGTCTACTATGAACTGAACCGATTTAAGAGCTGAACCGTCGATTTGCACCTGTTTGAGATTTTAGACATCGAAATCGATTTAGAACCGATTTAATAATGGGGAACCGGTAATCAAACCGATCGAACCGGTTTAGAACCGATGTAATCGGTTTAGATAGATTCGAGTTTTTGTATGATGGAATCGGTTTGAACTGAACCAGTTTATGGCTGAACTAGTGTTACTATGCTTGAATAGGAACCGAATCGGTTCGGTTTGAAAAAAAAAAAAAACGGTTTGTACACCTCTAAAGTAATAAAAGATAGAATACATTACACGAATGGTTTCTATAGTTTGGGGTAATTTGCGTGTTTGGTCCCTAACTTATTTTTTTTAATTTGAAAAGTCCCTACTGTTTGTTTTTGTTACGTGATTGGTCCCTGTTGTTTGTTTTTGTTACGCGTTTGGTTCATGTTTTACCTAAAAATATTATTATTTAAATAGAAAAAAATGGTAGGGTATGGTAGGTAAGGTGAATGTGTATGGTTGGGTGTGTTTATTTAAATAAATAAAAAAATCAATGACAAAATAGTTTTTTAGGTAAGACAGTAACCAAACATGTAATAAAAACCAACAGTATAGACCTTTCGAGTTAAAAAAAAACAAATTAAAAACCAAACGTACAAATTACGCTAAACCATAGGGATATTTGTGTAATTTACTCTAAAAATAAGCCAAACATTTCTGATTTGTATGGGCCTGGACTGGGCTGGGCTCAATACCAATCCAAATCCTCTACGTGATCCGACCCGACCTGAGTGGTTATTGAAAATTTGTGATGCACAACTAACATGATAATCTTCGTCATCAGAAACATCGTGTTGTGAGTTCTGAATCTGAAGATGTCTGGAACTGCGATAGTGATAGGGGCATCAAGCTCATGGGCTCGGGCGTTGGTCAAGATTTCGCCCTATACGTTTTCGGCCATCGGAATCGCTATATCGATCGGCGTTTCTGTCCTTGGTGCTGCTTGGTTCGAATCTTCTAACTCTCCTCTTCAATCATGTTAGGGTTTCGATTTTCCATTCGATAATGATTGTAGATCGTTCTTCTGTTTTTTAGGGGAATTTACATTACAGGAAGTAGTTTGATTGGTGCTGCCATTAAAGCCCCACGCATTACCTCCAAAAATCTAATCAGGTTCCTTTTTTCACTCCTAGGGTTTAATTTGATTTGATTTATAATACGATCCCAATATATGATCCGACTATCTTACCTGATTCATTACGGAAGTCTATCGGAACTTATGATCTCCTATTTTGATGATTTTGTTTGAAATTGTGCACGAATCTCAAAATTTGAAATTGTGCGTTTTTAAGGGCTACAGAATGATAGGTAAATATACCAGGATCTTCAAAAACTGTTGAGAAAAATGCAATTTAAGATCGAATGGAGCTTCGCTTGCATGATGATCTCTTTCCAATAACAAAAATACCATTAATTTTGATATAAAATCCATGGTTGACCAATTGTCCAATTGATACATGAACTTGATGCGATTGATTGATGTAGGCCTATGTTGATGAGCCATTGAAATACTTTCATCTTGACAGGATCAAAACCAAAATTCTACTTGTTTAATTTTGCCATTTTTCATTTCCAGTGTAATTTTCTGTGAAGCTGTTGCTATATACGGAGTGATTGTAGCAATCATTCTTCAAACAAAACTGGAAAGTGTCCCAGCATCACAGACATATGCACCGGAATCCATGAGAGCAGGATACGCAATATTTGCCTCAGGAATCATTGTGGGCTTTGCAAATCTTGTGTGTGGGTATGTTATGAAAATATATAATTATATATCTTAAGTTCATTAAGTTAAAAAGAAAGAGATACTTAGTTTAGTTTATTGTTTACAGGTTATGTGTTGGAATAATTGGAAGCAGCTGTGCTTTATCAGATGCACAAAACTCATCCCTTTTTGTGAAGATTTTGGTGATAGAAATATTTGGAAGTGCTCTTGGATTGTTTGGAGTAATCGTTGGGATTATAATGTCTGCTCAAGCAACATGGCCTACTAATGTGTGAGTCACATTCACACGTTCACCATCTCTTTCTTGTATCTGTATGCAAAAAAAAAAAAAAAAAAAAAAATGTTATTCATTATTTTGATCTCTACTGCATTTACTATATATGATATCTTATGTTTGTTTGTTCAATTTGAAACACTTTTTATGTAGCCATAAGATAAGATTTTTCCAGATTGATTGATGACTAATAATGTTTATCATTTATGTAATGAAGCCCATGAGCCTAATCTTTAATTTTGTGTTTGAAGTATATTTTTTTTTAATGTGATGTATTTATGAAAATGAAAAAAAAAAAAAAGGTGTATTTTTTTTTTATATCAAAGTTGGGATGTTACAAACAAGATCTAAAATTTGTAGTCTTAATCGGTGTATTTAGCAAAAAGAGTTTAATTCGTGAGTGGGATTCAAACTTAGCAAGGGTTATGTATGGATTTAAGGCTTATCAAGATTTGTTAGAATTAATTATTAATCTAAATGTAGTGATTAAATGGCTTTGTTTCTGTTAAGGTTCGATCAAAAGTTTCATTGTTAATGGAAACAAAAA